CTCTTGAGGCAAGAATGTAGGAGGAGATCAAGAGGCAAGTGCAGCTAGCAATGAGTCAAATGCAATCGCAATCAACGCTAGGAGTCACCATTAGCCCCGTTGGTCAGATGAAAAGCAGTTGTGCTTCCACGGAGCTGCCAGTTATTCAAGACGACGCTGGGTTGCGCTTCCCTGTTGATGACATTACCGAGCCTCTAACAACATGTGAGTTGCACATTCCAGATGGTAATAATGTATCAATCATGGTAGCTGTCGGGGTTGTATCTCCAATAGACCGAACGAAGACACCAAGAATCTATGGATCAGTTATTCAACCTGGATATGCTAGCGTCTCAGTCGATAGAGTGCTCAAAGGTTACAGCAATGTTCCTCTTGACATTGAAGGCGGTGATGGGGAGAAGACACTAGGAGAAGCAGAGAAGACATTTATTCAATGGCGCAAACGCTTCATCATCATTCCTGGGGCGCCACTGCTTCCCCTACCTCACCCTAGGTACGAATGAAAGTGAATGAAATATTATTTTCTATTAATTCTCTATTGGCTTCAAAAATAATTGACACATAACTTGTTTTTGTAGCAGGGTCTCCCCCCAGCCTAGCCCAATCATTCATTCCCCATCTCATCACAGCGTCGCGGGGGGCGAGACGACTTCATCCCCACGGCGATCGCCAACTCCTACACTGGCCCCATCGCCTCCACAACGATCTCCAACTCCTACACCGGCCCCACCGCCTCCACAACGATCTCTAATGCCTCCACGCCGGTCTCCACCAACACCGGCCTCATCGCCTCCACGCCGGTCTCCAACACCGCCCCCACCCCCTCCACAACGACGCACTACAAAGACGTCTAAGGTCCCGGCGGCAAAGAAGACCCCGAGAAAAAGAGTTATTTCTCAAGAAATACTTCCTAAAAAGACTGATGAGCAAATAGCAGTTGAAGAAGACAAAAAAGTGAAAGATTTTTTTATAGATATCAAAAACAAGAGTCAAGCGAAGCTTAAGGAGAAGCCATACTTTTACATACCACGAGATGTGCTGAGGCAGAAGGTCGATGCTCACAAGAAAAAGATGATTGAACTTCGTAAGCCTTCGCCACTATCAGACTATGACCGCTCCCTCGTGAAGTCACATGATGCAGATAAGAAAAGGAAAAGAGCATTAGGGAAGGATGTCCCACATACTCGGACAATGTAGCAACCAATGCAAAATCTTGTTGTTGCTAATGAATATGGTTCCAACATAGAAGTCTATCGACCGCACAACTCTGGAGAAGTGTCGGTTCAAGCCCTTTAATAATTTTTTTTGAAGATCTTGGTTTAACCTTGGATCAATTGATGGGCAAAGCTCCAATCCGAACACGGAAGTTGATACACGGAAGACTTATAAATATGGCAAAAGTCTGTACAACCTCAAGGGCTATGCTATGAATGAATTGGGTACGCAAATGTACTTGCTCAACAAGTGGTACATGCAAAGTGTGGTGGGGGTGAGCAAAGTGGATCTTTGTCGATTTAGAGACCATCATTACTTCCGTATGACATCTTACATATTAGTTTCAAGAATTGCATCAACTATACCACATGGACGCCTGGACAAATCAATCATTAGCTCCTTTTGTTTGTAAGTGATTCTTACTTTTATTTAATAAACTCACTTCCATAAATGCGTGTATATAATTATCCTCACATGTAACTTATATTTATATACAAATTCTAGATGTCGAGCTCCAAAGAATACAAGACACCAAAGTGTTGGCTTCATTGATCCTTATATCGTATTCAAAACCGGTATTATTGTCAAGGAGCGGTGGGTATCGAAGCATGGAGAATATCATGATGTTCTTCGTGAAGCAAAGACGACAAGACAACAATACTTTTCCCGCACAACTTTGAGTAAGTGTTAATAATAATGTAGTCTACACATTTTATGTAATATCAATACAACTTATATGCATGTACGTGTGTATAAACCAATGCAGGTTTCACTGGATACTCATTGTCATTGAGTTAAACTCAAGTCGGTTAGTAATCTTTGACTCGTTGAGAAAAGAGCGGGCACTATACCAAGATATGATAGACATTATCCAGGGGTAATTTCGATCTCTCGCGCACAACTATTATTGAATAGACTTTGCCAAAATTTATTAACGATCGTACATTATTGGTCGCACAGGGTTCGGAAAGAGTTTATTCGGCAACATCGCAAGGATTGCAAGGCACCACTTAATGTAGTTGAAATACCAGTAAGTTGTACTATATACACTTCCCCACGTGTTTAATTACTATATCATACTTCAATTTACGTGTGAGATGATGAGAATAATCTTCTTCTCGTACAGTGGTGTTTGCGGCAGCAACCAGGTAATAACTTGTGTGGATACTACGTTTGTGAATTTATCACTGCGCACATAAAGAAGAACTCCTAAAGATGTCCTCAGAGTACGTATATATCAATTTTTTATTTATTTTTAAATGAATATATATATATGTATTAATATTTTTTCTTTTATTTCAAATGCAAGACTGAATGGTTGAAACGAAGGGTCATGCAAAAAGACCATCTGAAAGCAGTTCAAGAGTCAATAGCAGGATTTCTTCTAGAAAAAGTGCTAAATCCCAACGACGAGTTCTACTTTGATCCTAAGGAATAAATGATGTAAATTAAATGTTTATTGATATCGTTATTTTCGAGAACAAGATTATGAAAGTGTTGTATATATATATATATATATATATATCTATAATATATATAGGTTCATACTTTATTCGAATATAATAATGCTCGAGATGAGAATTAGATGTAATTATATGCGTGCGTGTATTTATATTAGCAGCGTAGAATATGTACATAAAAACATATTATATATTAAACAAATACGTGTAACTAAACTGAAAACAAATTAAACAAAAAAAAAGAAAATAAACATTTAGTCCTGGTTGGGGTTACCAACCGAGACTAAAGGGTGCAGCCACGTTTGCTCGACTGGAGGGCCTTTAGTCCCGGTTGGTAACATCAACCGGGACTAAAGGTTCCTCTTTAGTCCTGGCTCGATGACTCGGAACTAAAGGTGGCACCTTTAGTCCCGGGATCGTTGTCCCGGCGCGGTAACCGGGACTAAAGGCCGTTACCGCCCGGGACAACAAGTCCATTATGTAGTAGTGAATATATTTATAGATGTATGATAATTATCGAGGAACAATGTAGATTAAAAAACAATATATTCGTTTTCTTTTCTCACCATGACAAATGTTTTTAGTGTAACATTCTAAAATTCTAACACCTAAATTAGAAGAAAAATATGACTATATGAATACAAAGTAGTAGAAGTCTGAAATACTATATAAATAATTAATTTAGATTAAAAATAAAAAGAAAAAAACACCTTAGGCCTAAACAACTGATCGGTGATCGTAATTCGTAAGAAGCCAAGAATCAAGATGTCATCGTCGTGGAACCATGCCTGGTCGCCGTCCTCGTGCGCCGTGTCCGTGTCTCCGGTAGTCTAGCTCTTCGCGGCGGCGCGGCTCGCGCAGCTCCACGTGTGTAAGGCACACGTCGCGAACTCACGATCAGAGTGTGCTGTGTGCAGCGTGACTCCTCGCCTCCTCTCTATCCGAGGGCCATGGGGAAAGAAAACTAGGAAAGAATTGTCGTTGTTGTCTTTTGGGCTGCCTGACCAGTTCTATGTCTCTTTTCTCATTAGTTTACTAATGCCTAATGGACTATAGGACCTGGGGTTTGTGTACCTGGGTTTGGGCCCCTCCTACGCTTGGGCCCTCAGCCGTCGCACCTCGTGCCCTACCCCTAGGGACGGCACTGCCCCTGCGCTGGCCACCGCACGTGGGTGAGGAGGGGTAGACGGCGGTGGGGCCCCGGATCCGGCCTCGCCCGGCAGTAGGCCGAGCGCGGCAGCGTCACATGACCCCGACGACTTAGGGGCGCCGGCGGTGCAGCACGAGGCAACTCCCGCTCGATGAGGGGCTGGCGACCTTGGGGCGCCAGATCCAGCCCCCAGAAGCGGCGGTGGAGGAGGCCTGCCGGTGGTGGATGCAGTCGCAAGCGGCGGCGGTGGCCATGCCGCTCGCACCTTCGGGCGCGCTCCGGCGCAGGAGCATGGAGGGGAGGGGAGCAGCAAGGGGAGACAAGGAGTGGAGTGCGGGCAAGGGGAGCAGCAAGGTGTGCGCCGCCGACCTTCACCCGCAGACCGCAACCCCGGCGGCCCTAGCCTCGCCCCTGGGGAGCACGCGCCGCCGCCGCGCCACCGCTGCTTGAGGGCCTAGGAGGAGGCGCGCCGCCGCTGCTTGGGGGCCGGGAGAGGGCGTGCCACCGCTGCTTGAGGGGCGGAGAGGAGACACCGCCGCTGCTTGAGGGCCGGGGAGGGGCACCGCTGCTGTTTGGTAGCCGGGTGAGGGTGGTCCGCCGCTGCACCCTGGACGACGACCGAGACGGCTGCGGTTCCATGTCTCTGTTTTGGGTCTGCTGTTGGAGAAGACATGTTTTAGGTATACAACCATTTTGCACAGGGTGACACATACAATGGAATGGGTGTCGATTTTAAGGTCTCATTGTCGGAGATAGCCTAATAACATCTCAGCATCTTGGTGGCCCAGTCCCATGACCAAAGACCGGTCCAATTCAAAACCTTTGAATATAATTGTAGTGGTACACAAAGGTCCTTTTAAACACCTTCTAATTTGTTTCCGCTTAGTCCAGTCAAAGTTCCTACTCTTCCACCCGACCCGACGACAGCAACCAAGATACTGGTGCTGCCTCTCGTCTCGGATCCTCGGCCCTCTATAAGAACCCCTCCCCACCCTCCCCGTTGTACGCTCTGTCACACGCATCATCACCTACCTCGACGACGAGCACACACACACACAGCCAGCCGCCAAGACAACTCGTGTGAACAGCTCGCACTGAGGAGAGGAGTGAGCGAGTCAGCTGCCTGCAACAGGCCGGGAGCTAGCTGCCACTGCCGAGTGAGCTCGCTAGCTGCGATGGAGGCCGTGCCGGAAGAGAAGTGCCCCCTGGTGGCGGAGCTGGTGCAGGTGCTGGAGATGGCGAGGCAGCTCGAGACGCACATGGCGGCGGTCCAGCAGCAGCAGCAGCAGCAGGGGGCGGCGGTGCCGGAGGAGGGGACCAGCGGTGCCGGGCGCTCGTGAGCACCATGCGCGCCTCCATCGACAGGGCCGTGCACATGGCCGTGTCCTGCTGCGCCGAGGGGCGTCCGGGAGCCGGCGCCGGGCAGCCGGTGTCGCCGCCGTCTGGTGGGGATGGCAGCCCGCGCAGCGGCGGGTCGGACCAGGTCGGCGAGTTCCGGGGCCGCGGCAATGCGGCCGGCCAGTGCAAGAAGAGGTAGGGAAGGGACTCAAAGCAAGAGCCTACTACTGTGGCTGTGGTTGGTTATTACCTGTGTGTGATTTGGTTTGAGATCATATCGATCGAACATGCAGGAAGACGCTGCCCAAGTGGAGCACCCAGGTGAGGGTGAGCGCCGTGCAGGACGTGAGCCCCCTCGACGACGGCCTCAGCTGGAGGAAGTACGGGCAGAAGGACATCCTCGGAGCCAAGTACCCAAGGTCAGCGCGCCGCCACAACACAATCCTTTTTCAGCCGATCGAGCATGCGCGCACGCGCACGAGCGATGCTGACCCTTTATTCTTGCAGATCCTACTTCCGGTGCACGCACAGGCACACGCAGAGCTGCCAGGCGAGCAAGCAGGTGCAGCGCACGGACGGCGACCCGCTGCTCTTCGACGTCGTGTACCACGGCGCCCACACGTGCGCCCAGGGCGCCGCCGCGCACCCCAGCAACCAGCCGGCCACGGAGCAGACGACCTCCCCGGGGCTCGAAGCAGGGCCCGCCGTGCTGCCGTTCTCGCTCAGGCCGGCCTCCAACAAGCCGGCGGGCGCCGACGACGCCGGCGTCGGCGCGACGAGCAGCCATTTCATCGAGACCGGCTGTACTGTCACCGCGTCTCCTTTCGTGTCGCCGGCGACGCCAGAGAACCAGCTGGTTAGCAGCGGCGGCGGCGGCTACTCGGTGGGCGGTGGCACCGGCGTGACCATGGCCGGTGTCTGGAACGTGCCTGACGTGGAGCACGCCTCCACGACCAACTCCCCTATGGCTATGGGGGAGATGGATTTCATGTTCCCGCTGGACGCCGCCGATTTCTTGGAGCTGGGGAACCCGGCCAGCTATTTTTAAACGACACAAACGTGCCTGCATCTACTAGTTTAGCGAAGAAATACCGATAGGTAAAGACGACAAGGCGAAAGGAGCAAGCTTGTTACCTCTCTCACTGGCATGCCTCACAGATGTATAATCTCCCTTGTAAGTTGTAAGTCTGCAAGGGTAGATAGGGCTATGGCAAGTCACACGAGCCTAGCTATGAAGCCTTTCAATAAGGCTGTCTTCGACGGACGATCCAGTGCGAACCTAAATCTAAAATCTAGAAGAGGTCTCCAACATAATATTTATAGTCTCCAATATAGTATCTATATGAAAGACTCATTTTAGGTGCTGAGAGATACATAACCTAAATGTGAGTATCCTCTATCTTGGAGACCCATTTACAGAAATGGTTATCTTTTGGGTCTTGTCATTGGAGAAGACCAAAAATAGATATTGAACCATTTGCCTGTATCACTACCTAAAAGATGAATGGGTCTTATATTTTGGGTCATGGTTGTTGGAAACAGTCTAACATATGTATAGTTGCCTGCTCTCTTGCGTATCCTTCGACTTTTTACATGTTCTTGTTAGCTATACAATGCACCAGCCTAATGGAGAATCTTCCATTTCACATGCACCAGCCTAATGGAGATTCATTTGCTCTATTCGCTTTGCTAAAAAGTCATGACTGAAAGTACTGTTCACTAATTTGTTGTAAGAGAAAACACTGCTCGTTCGCTGAAATAGTACGGCTCATAAGACAAACGAACGTGACCATTATGAGTATTTTAACAATACACATGGTGTCCTTACAGACGTAGTCAAATTTAAAATAGTTTAATTTAGAATAAAGCTATAGTGACATGTTTTCCTAGGACACAGGAAGTAATATTTTTTCGAAGAACCTTTCAAAATGCAGAGAGTTCTCACAATTCACAACAGAATAATTGAATTAACCTATAGTTATAAGAGAAACCGGACCAAAAACCTTACAACACGATTAATTAAAATAAAAAACCTGGTAAAACCCCTAACCAGGATAGCATGGCTAAGAGAACCCAATTCTAGTGAAAACCACCACAAGTCATCGTTGCTGAGGTCATCGCAAAATCGGCCAAGCATCTTTGACTTCGTATAGTGGGCCTGATGGCTTAGAGTAGATACAAGAGCTTCTTTATATCCTTTATTGTTGATAGGAATAGAGATTTCGGTAAAAAAAAGTACTCCAAGAACTTCTTAAACTAATCCTCCAAGAACTTCTTAAACTAGATCCCCAAACATTCCCAACACTATTCCTGATTTCTCGCTCTAATAGAGTGCAGAGATAGCTCTCTAGAGTGCCGAACAAGGTATAGAGAAATTGATAGAGCGTGGATACATATATAGATTGCTTTTTATTAAAATCACTACCGCGGAAATCTTTTCCGAGGCGGGCAATAACGATTTTCCGAGGTGGGCAAGTCAAATGCCTCCGACCAAAGATCAGGGTTAATCAGGCCTTAACGGAGGCGGTTGCTTGCCCGCCTCGGTAAATAAATCAGAAAAAATAAAAAATAAATAAAAAAAGCGCGTCGATGAGCCCGTTGAGCCCATCGACGGGCCCGCCAAGCCCAATGCCACCGATGCCGCCGCTGCCGCCACCGTCCTCGCCGTCCTCGTAGCCTCTTGGATCCGGCACTGGGGGAGCGGCCATCGTGGATCCGCCGCCGTGGAGCTCGGCCGGTCTGGATCCGCTGCCGGGGCGCTCGACCGGCATGGATCCACCGCCGAGGAGCTCGGCCGGCCTGGATCCGCCACCGGGGCGCGCGGACGGCATGGATCCGTCGCCGAGGAGCTCAGATTCCATGGATCCACGCAGCCAGGAGCCACCGTCGCCCGGCCCGCCTGCCTGCTGCTGCTGCTGCTGCTTCGATCGGATCCGAGCGTGGGAGAGAGGCCGCTGGAGGAGGCCGAGCCCGCAACCGGATCCGCCACCCCTCCCACGACGGGTGGCTACGCCGCCGCTCCGCCAACACGCACTCGTCGAGCCTCGCCTCTAAGCCATCACCGCGCCGTGTGAGAAGAGAGGTGAGGGAGAGAAGAGAGAGAGTGTGTGGCCGGTGAGGGAGAGAAGAGAGAGAGAGAAGCCGGTGAGGGAAAGGAGAGAGGCCGAGCGGCGCTGAGGGGCGCCGGCGTGTGAGGCCGAGCGGCGGGAGGAGCGCGCGGCGCTGAGGAGAAGAGTGAGGGAGAGAAGACTGAGAGGGCTAGGGTTTCGACTGAATATATACTATGACCGAGTTTTGGGCCGAGTGGGCTTCCTTGTGGGCTCGGCCATATTAACTGAGACGGGCCTTATAAGTGGCCCGCCTTCGAAAATGGAGGTATTAGCCCGACTCGGTTAATAGATTTTTTGAGGCGGTTATTTTTTAACCACCTCCGTAAATCGATTTTGCGAGGCGGTTGATTGTGACCGCCTCGGTTAATAAAAATACCCGCCTCGATTAATCCCAGGCATTAACTGAGGCGGTTCAAATTCCCGTCCGCCTTCGAGCCCTTTGCAACGCCTCGGTTAAATTTTTTTTAGTAGTGAACGACTCTTCAAATAAGGTTCAAAGATTGGATTTAGGAAACAAAAACCGTTAGGAAATAAGGTTCAAATAAGCCCATTTGGCAACCGGTGGATTCGTTCCCCAATTCCCCAATTTGCAGCGACGCACCGACGCCCTAGGCGAGGTCACGACTCGCTAGGAGTTGGTCGCCGCCCGCCGCCCACTGGCTAACAGGCACCGCGCCACACGGACGCGGAGTGCCAGAGCGGCCACTCGCCCGCCGCCACCCGCCGCTCGACACACCGGCTCGCCACCCGGCCGGCCCAGCGCCGCCCGGCGTCTCCGCCCGCCTCCTAGCGTTGTTGGCTTCTACTGCTCTGCTCCGATGGAGGGAGGAGAGGAGGAGGTCCATCACGAGGAGGGTGAAGGTGTATATGGATTAAGTGATCAAGAACTATTAGTTTATTCTTCAAATTTGAGGTATGTGAACATACCATTTGTGATTGCAGCGTTTTTGTAATAATTGAGGTGATTGTAGTATGTGAATTTTGTGTGATCGTAGTATGTTAATAAGGTGCGATGTGAATGCGGTGCCTTTTGGTTCATTTTATCGTTGCAATTCGCTCCAGCTACGCCCTGTTTGCTTAAACCGTATTTTTTCAGCCAACGAACAGTATTTTTCTCATGCACCAAATTAGTCAACCGTATTTTTAATCATGCCTCGTAAGCCAAGCGGACGGGGCAATAATTTTTTTTCGTGGCTCCGTCATTGGTCGCCGCACCAATCACTTGCCCTCACCTGCAGGTTATTGACCGGGTAAAGACAGCAGCAACAACGACCGCCGGACGCCAAGGTTGTGAAGCCTGACGCTGACACGCTCAATAAAAGTACGTACAGTAGTGTATTATACTACTAGTGAGCGTATATGCGTACAGGCGTACAGCACGCTTTTTGACATCAGTGACTATCACCATGGAACCAGATGGTACAGGCGTACAGCACACTTTTTGACATCATATACTGTATACTCCCTGCTCCGACCTCAGTTATCCAGCGAGGGAAGTATAATACTGTACGTGGGGCCTCAATTCTCCAGGGGCCATTCGCATCAGCATCAGATGACTTTCTACTAGAGGATAATAAGAGGAGACATAAGCGGAAAGCGGATTCGACTGATTGGCAAGTCAAGATGCCGGTGAAGAGAGAGATCTCAATGTTCTGAATCTCATGTTTTGAATTGGATATTCGGTATCTTGGATCCTTAACTCGTAGCTATAACTCCTACTCTTCGCCTAATGTCCTGCTCGTGGAAATGGATCGAAAAAAAAAATGTCCTGCTCGTGGAGCTAGAGGAAGCATGGATTTCTTAGAAGAATACCTGTTGGTTAGCAATATACTTTGAGGCTGATGCTTTGGCAACACATGATACTATTGGGATCTGTTACTTTGTAATGCGGCTGTCATCCAGAGTAAGCAGAAGCTTCCTGATTCAATTTATGAGTGGAGACATCACTCATCACATCAGTCGAGGAGAGCCCAACCCTACGAGCCCCTAGCCCCGCCTCCAACACTGGCGCCGGTGCCCACACCTCACTCCCCCTTCTCTCCCCTCGCTGCTCCCCACTCCCCTCGTCACCCCTACGCGAGAGCGCGACCGGAGGTGCGCGTGCCACGGACGTCGCCGCCGCCTGCCACCGATGCACCTCCTCCACCGCCGGAGGCCGCTGCCGTCGCACAGCTTCCCTGCTGCCGCTCGTGGGGGCCGGATTCGGCGCCCCAAGGCCGCCTGCACCACCTCGCGCAGGATTTGGTGCCCCTCGGCCGCCGGGACCGCCTGATACCGCCGTAGCCACCCTTCAGCCGGGCGCGGCCAGATCTGGAGCCCCACGGCCGCCTGCCCCTCCTTACCCGTGTCCGCCGCTGCCGCTCGCTTCGGACTCCACTGCCGGCATCCACCGGTTGCCGAAGGCAGACGACGTCGCCACCGATCTGGAGCCGTCTGTGGAGGCTGGTTCTGGCACCCCGCGCCCACCGCCGGCTGCTACCGACGATCATCCATCGCCCCTGGTGGAGACTAGGGGAGCGAGCTTGGCGCAGAGCGCATCCTCGACGCCTCAGGCCTCCCTAAGCTCCTCCTCTCACCGGATGTGGCTCCGTTCCACCAAAGGCTGCTCCTTCGTTGGGCGCACGAAGAGTCATCGGTGGGCGACCGACGTCGGCGAGGAGTCCGACGACGACCGCCCTGCATCCTACCTGGATGCCGTTCGTCGCCCATCGAAGCAGGTACCTGCGTCCCCGCCGCACGCCCAGACTTGTCTAGTCCTAATTTGTGGCCGTGGCAGAGCGGACGCTGGGCGGGGCAAAGATGGAGGAAACGCAACCGACCGCGTTTCCAGCTTGTACACGTCCTGCCTATTCGGTCAGCGGATGGCCATGTCCCTGTCCGCCAACGCCTCGGCTGCCGTGGACGGGTCTCCGTCACCAATGCCGAAGGGTGGCAGGAG